GTCTCATCTCCGTCATCGCATTGGCGATCGAGGAAGCCAATCTTGCTTACACGGGCTCTCTAGATCATTGTCGAGGAAGGCCACGTCGTCCCCGCCGATTGCCAGCTTATCTGCGACTACGAGAACCCCGCCGGCTACAGCGCCTACAAGGCTGAGCTCGAGGCTCAGGATGTCATGTCCCCCCGCCGCGAGAAGTTCGAGGAGGGTGATGAAGAGAATGCCAACCCTGCCCTCGGACACTCCATCGTCGCCGTTGACCAGTCTGCCATGACTGGTGAGTCCCTCGCTGTCGACAAGTTCATGACCGATACTTGCTACTACACCACCGGTTGCAAGCGCGGCAAGGCTTTCTGTATCGTCACCCACGGCGCCCAGGCCTCTTTCGTCGGAAAGACCGCCTCCCTCGTCCAGGGCGCTCAGGACCAGGGTCACTTCAAGGCCATCATGAACTCCATCGGTACTACGCTTCTCGCCCTTGTCATCATCTTCATCCTCGCTGCCTGGATCGGTGGTTTCTACCGCTCCATCGAGGTCTCTGAGGAGGGCACTTCCGTCAACTTGCTCCACTACGCCCTGATTCTTCTCATCATCGGTGTCCCCATCGGTCTGCCTTGCGTTACCACCACCACCTTGGCCGTCGGTGCCGCCTACCTTGCTGAGGAGAAGGCTATCGTCCAGAAGCTTACCGCCATTGAGTCCCTTGCCGGTGTCGACATTCTCTGCTCCGATAAGACTGGTACCCTCACTGCCAACCAGCTGTCCGTCCGCGAGCCCTTCGTCATGGAGGGAGTCGACATCAACTGGATGATGGCCGTCGCCGCCCTTGCCTCTTCCCACAACATCAAGGCTCTCGACCCCATTGACAAGATCACCGTCCTCACCCTTAAGCGCTACCCGAAGGCCAAGGAGCTCATCTCTGACGGCTGGAAGACCGAGAAGTTCACTCCCTTCGACCCCGTCTCCAAGCGTATCACCACCATTGCCACCCACCGTGGTGTCCGCTACACTTGCGCCAAGGGTGCCCCCAAGGCCGTTCTCGCCCTCACCGACTGCACCGAGGAGCAGTCCGCCCTCTTCAAGGAGAAGGCGGCTGAGTTCGCTCGCCGTGGTTTCCGTTCCCTCGCTGTCGCCGTCAAGGAGGAGGATGGCCCCTGGGAGATGCTCGGCATGCTGTCCCTCTTCGATCCCCCTCGTTCTGATACCGGCCAGACTATTCTCGAGGCCCAGGCTCTCGGTCTCCAGGTCAAGATGCTGACTGGTGACGCCCATGCCATCGCCGTCGAGACCTGCCGCATGCTTCAGCTCGGTACCAAGGTTTACAACTCTGACAAGCTTCTTCACTCCGACATGGCCGGTACTTCCATCCACGATCTTTGCGAGCGTGCCGACGGTTTCGCCGAGGTGTTCCCCGAGCACAAGTACCAGGTCGTCGAGATGCTTCAGCAGCGTGGTCACTTGACTGCCATGACTGGTGACGGTGTCAACGATGCTCCCTCCCTGAAGAAGTCCGACTGTGGTATCGCCGTCGAGGGTGCCACCGAGGCTGCCCAGGCCGCCGCCGATATCGTCTTCCTTGCCCCCGGTCTCTCCACCATTGTCTCCGCCATTAAGCTGTCTCGCCAGATTTTCCAGCGCATGAAGGCCTACATCCAGTACCGTATCGCCCTTTGCTTGCACTTGGAGATCTACCTGGTCACCTCTATGATCATCATCAACGAGACCGTCCGCGCCGACTTGATTGTCTTCCTCGCTCTCTTCGCTGATTTGGCTACCATTGCCGTTGCCGTAAGTACCTCGTTCACTCATCATACCTACCTCAAGTCACTAACACACCCAATAGTACGACAACGCTCACTTCGAGAAGCGTCCCGTCGAGTGGCAATTGCCCAAGATCTGGATTATCTCCATTGTCCTCGGTTCCCTCCTCGCCGCCGGCACCTGGATTCTCCGCGGTACCATGTACATCACCGAGGGTGGTGTCATCCACGACTACGGTTCCGTCCAGGAGATTCTCTTCCTCGAGATCTCCCTCACCCAGAACTGGCTCATCTTCGTCACCCGTGGCTTCGACACCTTCCCCTCCTTCCAGCTGATCGGTGCCATCGCCGCCGTCGACGTCCTGTCCATCCTCTTCTGCGTCTTCGGCTGGTTCTCCGGCGGCCGTGGCGAGCCCGCCTCCCCTCCTTCGCTCAACAAGTTCCTGTCCGAGAACGGCCGCACCGACTTCGTCACCGTCTGCGTTGTCTTCGTATACTCGGTCGCCGTCACCATCGTCATGGCCCTGGTCTACTACGTCCTGACCAACCTCCGGGTCCTCAACGACATGGGCCGCAAGAAGCGCAGCGTTACCGACACCCTCATCGAGAACGTCCTCACTCAGCTGAGCAAGGTCGCCCTCGAGCACGAGAAGGACGACAAGGGCGAGCGCTTCTACATTGCCAACCGCGCCGTTGTCGAGGAGGGCTAAGCGTCCTTGAGTCGAAGAAGGAAGAGTTTCGACCAAAACATGAAAGAAATCAAAAAAATCAACCACAAAAATTAGACATCATGTTACTTGGAGCGCGCGCGCGGCAGAGCAGTCACAACAAAGCGTGTTTTGAAAGGCATCGAGTTTCACAACAAAAAATCCATTTCCGAAATTCATTTTTTCCATATCCCACTATAGAGAAAGAAGAAGGTGATGAACTTCTTGGTGCGAGGAAGAGAAAGAGAAAGACCAGCCAAAAAGGGAAAGGCGAGGGACACACCAACCTCTAGATGACGCGCTTGGTAATATTTGGCGACATCAACTCGACTGTCACTAATGACCCATTTTCACGAGCAGTTTTCTATAATGTAACAAAAAGACCATCATGTTGATTGTTGTGGCGTTGATCGGGTCAAGGGTCGGTCGGTTAATTCAATTAAATCTGAACAAGTTAAACAAATCTTTGCAAGTTCATTCAACCGTGACACGTTTTCCATCTTTCGAATTCAAAAGTGACTTGATCCTACTGCGGCTTATTCCAATTTTGCCAATATCAAAAGCTAAACATCGCTCCCTTGGGAGTCTTAGAAGGTCCTTCGCCCCGATCTGTATTACAAGGCGAAGAATAAAAAAAGAAGACAACTCAGATACACACAGACAGAAGACCCTGGTCAACCCTGGTGCCCTGTCCGAAAAGCAACACCCCATTGGGGCCCCAAAGTCAAAGTTCAACCTTTTCCGCAACTACGGCTGTTTCTGACCACAAGGCACTCGGACCGCTTCATGCGTAAGCCGCGTCCCTTCTCTTTTCCTCTCTCCTTCTCCCCATCCACCTCTCCGACTTCCGGCCTTTCTCTCCCGTGTTTGTGCCCCCCCCCCCCCCCCCCCCCCCAGAGGTAGGTGGTCCATGTTCCCACCCTGGACGGCCAAGATCCGTCCACCGGCAAACGTTTCCTCGAGTCGGGACGGAGAGGTGGGTGGCGCGAGAAAGGCGAAAAGGCGAACTCCTTGAGAGAAGCGGGAATCCCGGGAGGAGAGTTTGGGCATGATGGCATTGAGACGTCGGGCTTATCCCCTTCCCCCCTTCTTACCCTCTATGTGGTTTGTTAGTCGCTGCTCACATGTACGGCAATCCTGAGGGATGTTCCTGATGGATGACGAAGACGATTCTTTTTTTTTCTTTCCTTTCCCATGTCCCAGCTTTCTGATTCACGCTATCCTGATTCACGGGTCGATCGCTCAAGTCAGACACTCTTCGACCCCTTGATTCCTGCGTTTCCCATCTTCCATCCGGGTCTACCGATAACGCGAGCTCGCTCGAGGTCCGAGGGGGTGGGCGGATGGACCAATACTTGGTCAAGACTGAGAAGAAGCCTTTTTTCTTCCCTTCTCTTTTTAGTCCGTTCTCCGTATCTTTTTGCTGGTCCTTCCGAGGAGATTATGCGGCTGGCTTACGATTTCACGAGACGATATGCACGACATGTCTTGAGACGTTTTGTTAAACCCCTGAGTTGGTCTTTGCTCGAGGGGACGGACGGATGAGGTTGTTGCTGGTCTGAGTAGCAGCTCGCACAGTACAGCTTGCTTTCCACGTTGACCACATGCTGAGATCATTCCAGTCCCAAGTGGTGTAAGACTCGTGCAGACGTTGCAAGGCTGGCGGGTACGTGTAAGCCTTTTCCAGTACACGCCCCTCTTACCCCTCGCCGGTCATCGGTTATACATAGCCTAATACCCGCTAGAGATGGGAAGAGAATACATGCGTGTATATCTATTTTCCGGTGGTCTTTGATAAGGGTAGTTGATCGTGTGACCGACAGCTTATTACCATTTCTTGGCGTCTCCCTGCGATGTAGCCAACTTGGCATCACGGAATCGTCACATACCACCAGCCATTTGGGCTGCTCGGCATGCCATCCGCTCTACCATAGATATGGCAGCGAGGGTGCTAGCCTGTTCATCGGGTGTTTATGGGAGATTGCGTGTCCGGAAGTCCGGATCCCAGATCTCCTCCGTTGGAGCGCGCCAGCCAGCACCGGACTACCTCCGTTATTTTCTCCCACACCGTAAAGCCGGCTTGCGGAACAATTGTCTTGCCGGAAGACATTAACCACCGGTGATCAAGGTGGCATGGATCCAGAAGCCTGTTCAAGTGCGGAATATGGCTTGCAGCAGTAAAGTTTCCCAGAAATGTATCGGGAGCAGGTCTTCCACGGTTTCGTTTGGAATCCTGGCAGTGCCAGAACTTGGTAGGATTAGTCGAGTAGTTCGAACAGACTAATGGCCCCCATTTGCCTGCTAACTTGCCCCCTTGACCCTTTGCACCTTCGTTCCTTTGGCAGTCAATGTGTAGAGCCCTTCAACAGAGATGGTTTGTTAATATACTAGAAGGACATTTAAATGCATACTTGTCAAAATCCCAACGCTAGAGTATCAGTAGCCTAAATGCTAAGAAACTCTGAAGTCCCAAGTAAGGCTATCGCCAAAAGAGCCCAAACGATCCGCGCAAAGAAACTGCGTCGTTTCGCAACTTCTACGCCTTGCTTGCTTTCGTCACGTACTCCCTCCTTATGATTTCAGCCCAGGCCTTCAGTGAAAGCATCTTTCCGTTCACCCTCACCTTGTCCTTGGCCATATTCTCGACCTTGAACTCTGGCTCGGGAAATTCTTCGAGTTGGTGGTCTTTGCTGCACACGAACTTCTCTAGAGTACCCTCGCGCAGTTTCTTGACGCATTTCTCGTCGAACTGGACTTGGCCGCACTCATCTATGCACGTCCACACACCATTCAGATCGTCAAACTGCCTCCCACATCCGTCACAAACGATTCCAATGCCGTATATCGGTTCTTCAGGCTTCTCTGAATCCTGGTCTTCACCGTCGTGTTCTCCTGGCGCCGATCCTATGCTGGAAACTGTGGGAAGTGGTGCTACCCGTGCATCAGGGGCGTCGTCTTGACTCTGTACCATGTTTGCTTCGTGTCCTGAATGCCTGTCAGCTATACAGTGCAGTTTCTTGGGAATAGTGGCTTTAACTTGGCCGAGTTAAAGTGTCTACGCCGAAACGAAACTTACCACTACTATTATTATTATTGTTCACTTATCATTGCCCCTTGTTTCTCACACATTCCGAGCACTCCACCACTGCAAGCATACTCAATGCCGCGACTGCATTGTCATAGTCTTTGAAGGTCCAGAAAAGCCTCTGTAGTTGCCAGGAGCACTGATAGTCGTCGCTTGGGTCGTTATTAGACATCATCTCAAGAGACTGTGGTACCAAGTCCCTTACTGCTTCCATTGCTTGGTGAGCTTTCATACACGCTACAGGCAAGGCAATATCTTGAGAAACATAGTACAGTCCGCGGCGTGAAATCGCTCTCCCCGAACGATTCCATGAAATCCTCGCGCACACGATCAACTCTTTCTTCGAACTCGGGTCGCTCCGTCTTCGACGCCGTGGCTCGTGCTGTATACATTGGCATGATGTGCCCTAGTACTTTGTTTCGCTAAATGCGCTCGAAGAGCTCAAATCCGGATCCAAGATCTGTATGAACGAGCTTTTCAAATACTCTCAGAGCTTCATCATAATGCTTCGGAGATCTTAGAAGGGAAACCCCGTAACTGGACTGTAGCTCGAATCTGGCCCAGAATGATCAATTGGCATTCGCTCTCAGCTCATAAAGATCTTTCAGCAACTCCCATTTGTCTAGGGCGTCTGCAGTCCGCACGAGGGCGACCATGAAACGGTCGGAGTAGATGCCCGCCCACATAATCCACCCAATTGCTTTCCCATTTCTTTGGGGAAAGCCCGCAACAAACTGCTTCATCAAACTCGCAGGAAAGGGGACAGTAACCCTTGCCTCAGCAACGAGAAGAAATGCGAAGGAGGTTTCGATTTCGTAGGTCGTCGTACCTGGGTCTAAAAGATGTGTGACTGCCCTCTTCACGCCAAAGTAGTTCGAAGTGTTGCTTACCAACTACGTGCTACGACGCTTTAAAGCATTTCACCAAGTCGCTCTCACCGATGTGCCGTCGAATACGAGGATTCCGGAAAAGCGACCTTCTCAGAAGATCCGGTGCCTGATCGTCCATGATCCAGATACTCCAGCTCGCCGGAAGTTCTTTCATCTCCAGGAACTTCCGTCTGTCATCACTGAGGGGGCAAAAAAATCCCAGGAACGAGTTAATGGCGTTGTCTTCGGCGAAAAGTCTAGTAAGGAAGCCTGCCACTTGGGCTTGAAGAAAGGAGTCCCCTAGAGAACGATCAGTAGCATGCGCCTCTTCATATGTTGAACCAGATCCCATCATCTATCGCATTGTCCGGGGAAAAGTCCTCGTCATGATTGTCGCTCGGCCCAACAACGGCTGAGCGTAGGTGTTCGTGGAGGTTTTCTGCTGCATAGCTATCAAGCGCCCTGACATCGGCTTTTCGTTCCTCCACGAGACATGTGAGACGGCGAAGAGAAGGAAGAAGTTCTGCGTTAGCAGGGTCTTGACGTATGAGTCTTTGTATCATAATGGGCTCGGTGTCCTTTTCCGCGTTTGACTCGGTCTTCTGGCTGTCCTCTACGAAGTCGTATGCCACCTATGCCCTTTGTCCAACTGGCTCAGATGTTCGATGATTTTAGAGGCCAGATGTATTTTTCCTGTACCCTCGTCTCCCTCGAGTCCCAAGACAGGCGGATGATGACTCTTACCGCGTGCCCAATCATGGAAGCGTTCGTGGTTCCAAAGCCAGCGGCCGTCATCACAAGACGACCTCTCCGAGTGTGTCAGCAAACGCTCCTTCCAGAAAAAGCTTGGAATCTTGCCCTCTGGGCTCTGTAGCACAGAAATAATCGGCCAACCGAGCCCTTCAATCATGGTAGATTCCCACTTTTTCTCTCCAGATCCAGTCTTCAAGTTCATAACCCGATTCAGCTTATACAAGATATCCATCTGGATCTGTCCGAATTTCTTTTGGTTGAGCTTCTTCGCTTCGTCTAGAGGACTCTTGACCTCATCATCATCCAAGAAGGTCGAGGTGAAGAAAGCGCGAGCTTTGGAGCGCACTTTCTGGCGCAACTTGAGTGGGAGGTCGCAGACATTGAAGAATAGTATCAACTGCTGGCAAGAAATAAGCCTCAGCTTTGGTGTGGGATTCAAGTTCTTGATATCATCAAGCCTGCCAAGAGATTCAAGGAATCCTTGCAAAAGCTAGGCCAAAGCCTCAAACATACCCTTATACCATAGACTGCTAGATAGCGTCACGACAACCGTCTCTAGTCTTTCTCTAATTTTGCTCTATTTCGAGATTATTTATAGGCAGATATGAGGATAGTAAGGTGGGAGTATTACATTATTCGTTTACAAATGTCAACGCGTTGAAGCCTATATTCGCCGTTCCACCAAAAAACCTAGATTCCAGTAAAGATACGAGCCACTGAAAAGCTGTACCTACTTAATCTCATCAATGGATCTTACTTCTAGTATAGGTCCAATCACAATGTCCCCGAGAGTCTGAGTGCAAGTCAGAGTCGTGTCAAAGGTCTCCTCGACTCTATGGAATTTTCCAGGGCCATCGGCAGACTTCTGGGCTTGGGCGGCCAATATATCTGTGACATTTCTGACCGTGATGTCCCCATTTGGGGCTTTTCCGCTTGTTGCCTTGGTCATACTACGCACCCGTTCTTCAACCACTTTCCAAATCTCCCCAAGTTCATCGTCCGGATCCTCGGGAATCTCAGGGTGCTCGGCCACTGCAGCATCTGGGGGTGGCATGCTGACTCGTAAATGAAGTTCCTGAGCGGTAAGCAACTCTTGCCCGTAATTTTTTTGATGACTCTCGGAGTGAATTATAGCACTTGAAGACAGAAACAAGACGGAGATGGAGATCAGATAAGGTCCGTCGATGATGGGGGAAGGGGGGCAGTGGAATTTTACACATATAGGTAGCTTTATGGTCTTCGACTGGCTTAACATCTTAGCCACAGGCTGCTTATTTCTTAATCTGAGTTTTCCTCCGGCCTTGCTTAGTTCAAAGGCCACGCGAGGGCTTGTTTGTTGAGCATGCGACTTCGGTCAGCCTGCGTCAAGGCGCAATTCTTCTCCTAAGATGCATCAATGTACGAAGCATAATAAATGGTCAGGACTCCATTTAACTATCTCAATTCTGGATAAATATGAGGTTGCTGACTTTTGACTCAAAGCTTAGAGATCGTCATACTCGATGTGAATTCTGATAGAGCACCAAGCTTGGGGGCTTACTCTCAACCACACAGGTTTTCAGACTTCATCGATTTTGAGCAACATACGAAGGGTTGAGCTTTAAAGTCATCTCAATGTATGGACAACAGGTTACTAAGCCAAGATCAAGTTCCATGGCTTGCATGAGTGCGAAGAACAAGTTGAGGAGTGGTGGATGTTGAGTCGAATATTATGAAAGAAGAATCAAGCACACTAGATTCTCGACCTAAAAAGCACCTGAAATTGACTAAAAACTGGCACAGATACACTTTGACGTATTTAAATCCGTCAATGGATGTTTTCAATGAGCTACATCTATGGCACTAATGTCTCGTTGCTATGATTTGGGAATAAGGTCAACTTGGCTTCGTCTAACCATCACATACGACCATACCCATTGGAAAATTCGGGATCCCGTCCGCTCTCCCATAGACAAGCCAATGAGGGCCGGATTAGTAGTTGGGTCGGTGACGACCAGCGAATACCTGGTGTTGTATGTTTTTGAAGTTTTGGTGGATTCACGAGCATGGTGTTCAAGTGGGTTTGTGTGGAGTTGAGGGCGGCGGCGCGGTTAACGATGTTCGACTTGTTCGTATGCTTTTGCCAGTCAGACCTTACCTAAAGACCTATCATCCTGCACTTCTTCAAGCTTGAATAAAACTTTGCCTGCTGGTTGTCCCGGAAATTTTGACAGTGACAAGGCCACATTCAGTCATGTTATCGGTGGAATATCCTTTCCTGAGCAACAGGAACTCGTCGATCTCCTGTTGACGATCTCCGGGTGCTGTTGACTGAATTGGGTACTTGGGGTGTAAATTCACCCCGATGGGTTTCGATAGCAACATCTAGTCAGATTCATGGTTTGCTAAATCTATGTTAGTCGAGCTGCTATGGCCATCGATATTGTGCTGAATGAAACGCCCATCCTTCTTTCGGTCCCTCAATCGTAAGACTCTTTCATAAAGAGGTTGACCTAAACGTTAATAAAGCATTCAGATCGATATTTGGCGGTATCTCGGCTGCTGTCTCTCTGCACCGACTGCCTCTATTCTCTTCTGCATATCTGGATACTCCGAAATTTACCTCATAAGCCTCGTGTGCCGATGCTCACTAAGTGGAAATGACACACCGTGATCTTAGTTTATACCACCGCTGGGCTGATAATGATGATGGAAACGGATCCTTGAGGCTCCGAGTAGAAAGGGTCCAGCAACGTTACGAAGGAAGGAGGGTCCTTATAGAGGATGATCTGGCAAGCTGGCAACCTAGAGCAGGTCTATATCGTGCAAAACTACTGAAAAACAAGTTCCAAGCTCTCACTTCAGTCCTTAGACCTCTCGGTCGCTGTCTTCAATTTTGAGAGGCACCCAAGAGTCTTGTGAGCCTCGATATTGAAATCGAGACAAAGTCTTGGCTTACAGACCATTGGTTCATCACGAACCAACTTGAAAGACCGCCTTCATGAGCCCGAATATTACCATGCAATCCTCCAATTGAGTTTAACGAAGATGGGCCCTTGCCTTGGGCCAAATTGCTGCAAGTAGTTTTGTTCACCATAAGCCGCAGTCTACCCGTCATGAGAGTCGGTCATATCGACCCCAGCCCATTTGCCAAGGCCATCCGTCACTGCTGAAGAATGACATAAAAACACGACCGAGACGTTCCAGACCGTTACTCAGATTATAAGCCACACGCTGCTCTGTCCTACGCTTCGTCTCGACAAGGTGAGATAGAGACACGCATGGCTCGGAGGCAGCTACCCGGGCGAACCAGTCACGAACTATGCCATTAGAGAAGACTACGGGTAAGTACATATAGAAACGAAGCCTAATCTCGAGCTTGTTTCTATCTTAGACATTCATCTTTCGGGCTGCACGCCTTCGTCCGCGGCATGGGCTTGCGGGAGTGAGAAACCTCCATTTGCCGAGGGGTTCCAGATAGCTTGGAGCGTCCGTCGGATGCCAAGATCAAGTTAACACTTTTATTACCATTGATATATGAGAGAGAGAGAGAGAGAGAGAGAGAGAGAGAGAGATAGCGCTACATAGTAAGGAGCTAGCGAGGTACCCCATGAGTTGAGCCATAGTTCAACCAGGAATTGGGAAATGGGCAAGGTCGCTAGGATGTCAGTATGTGACTGATTAGTGTAACTAGAGCAGACTCCTAGAAAATAGTGGTGATAGTCAAAGAAGAGAGACTCAAATTATACTATCTAGCTATCGCAGCAGTGTTTGAAGACAGCATATTTGTTCCAAGGGAACTTGATATGTCTCTGGCATTACAATCCAAGCATGGCCAAGGGAAGGAGTTCGTCAAGACATGCATACTACGTCTTTGGGGGACATCAAAGCAGATCATAGAGAGTTACAGATGACTGCACGATGACTTATAAGCAAATACCAGAGTGGCAGGGTCTCCAGGCGAAAAAGTGTCTCTCAACTCAAGAAACTCATTGACAACAAGAAAGCGGCAATTAGCTCAACAACAGTCACCATGAATCACCAGTCAAGACTTTGAGCCCCATTGTCAGAACGAACGTAGATGCCCGCTTGGAGAAATATCGAATTCAATGCTCCAAGGACGTCGACTCTTCCGACATCAACGACAACGAAACATGATCGACAAACTCAGAGGCTCTTCGCGAGTCACATTCTCAACTCAAGTCAGCTAACATGTGCAAACACACGACATTCGACAATACAGAGCATGACCGCAAACTGACACAGAACCCCATCCGGCAAACGAAGCCGTCGTTGTTGCCAACGTCGTCATCGTGAAGTACATTGAACGTCATATTGCATATCGACACAAGAGTCATTCAACCCATCAAGTATCAGCTCACTACCGGGGCCCTCTCCGAGACAAGAAAGGGAGAGAGAAAACTGCCCGTGCTAAGCAAACACCTCTCTCTCTCTCTCTCGTTCTAAGTTACTTGACAGCTATTCGCCACACAGATATCCTTTCCTCTCAACGAACCGCAACACCCTCGACTGACTAAGGGGACAAACAACATCTTTGCCTTCCCAGGCCCGAGGTTGCCCACGCGGAACGCATCAAGTCAGTCGACAACTCGGCTTATCTCGGACTCGGAAGCCGCGTAGTTGCGCAAAATCCAAGCCGGGCGGACGGACCACCTTGACCCGCGAACTCTCTCCCATTCTTACCCACATCTCTCCTCCTCTCCGTCCTCTCTCTTCCGTCCGTCTTTGCACCGCGTGGGTGCCTGTCCGCCCACAATCCGATCCAAGGTCTGCCCAACATCAGATCAACCAGAAGGGAACACCGAGTCAAACTCACCAAAACACATACACACGCAGACGTACGTACCACTCGGCTTAACAATGTCCAATGCTCAAACTACGTTGCCCACTTCAGCCAAACCAAACCCAACTCTTGACATCTGATAAAAAACAGGGAAGAAAGAAAGAAAAAAGTCTACGCTGCAGAAAGAAAGAGATCCGGGCTTTTTCCCACGCGCATATCCGGGAGTCCTCCATCCCACCACACGACCCAACAAAGAAAGTTTCTAGAGCTACGATTTGGGGCGAGTTGCACTCGTTCCCAACCCTCCCTCTCCCTCCGCACGGGGACAGTCGGTTCGGTCAGTCCGCCTCACTCCAGCTGAAAAACGACCACAATAACAACAACACAAGATGGTTGGTGGTGAGAGAGGCTGACCAACTTCGAGGTAGGTCACACGGTGATCCCGCCGGTAGAGCGCGCGGAAACTTTGACAAGCCAAGGCAAGAGAAACAACAACAACACCACTTCCGGGAACGGGGCAAAAAGAGACCAGAGACAGACAAGAGTCAGTCCAGCCTGCCGTCAACCGGGGGGCCGCAACTCTCGCCTAATCTCTCGTCGTCCATTTTCGTCCCGAGAGAAAAGCCATTCAAGTTTGGATTCTAGAAGCACAAGATTTTAAACTTTAATCTGTAGATCACACAAGGCTAAGGGCGAACACACGGCACATGGCGGACAATGATATGGGCTCTTTCGCAATCCCGCCGATTCGGTCAAGCCAAGCAAAGGCAAGATATTGCCGGCGCAAGTGGCAGCATATCGACCCCTCCCCCGTTACTCCATTTCTATATTCCTCGCCCGGTACATTTGCCAGAAACAGGCAAAGGCATCCCGCAGCCGCTCTTTCCCGTCAATCAAACCCCACGCAACCACGCACCACCACGCGGTGCTTTCCACGTTCACGACTCGCAGTGTGATCTGATTTACGTCGTACGGATGGATACTCTTTTCATGAATCTGGGAGCCCGGGGCCCTCGCACATAACGGCAGGCAAAGCCGCCGGGGGGGCTAAAAAGGCGGTCCACTATCAAGGAAAGCGGAAGCCAGCATATATGAAAGACAAGGCAAGTTCATTATGCGTTCCGGAGTCATGCTGAGGAGATATACCCGGGGATGATGGAGGGTCCCCCGTCCGAACCGAGTGAGTGAGCTCGCCGCCCGCGTAGAAAGCCACCGGCACCCGGGAGAAGGCGAGCAAGACCGTACGGGTAGAAGGACAGAGAAGGGGAGCGGGATAGATCTGCTGGATTCCAAGGACAAGGGCCGTCAAAACGCTGTCGTACCACTGCAGCTAGACAGACATCATCAGACATCGAAGGGTAGTGGTACCGGTAGGTAGCCTTTCGCCTGTCCCGTTGCCACTGGCCACTCCCAAGTCTTCCCTCGGTCACAAGACCGAATGGCAAAGTAGCACAGCTCACCATGGGCCTGTTCTATCTGCCTCTCAACTTTCCCAGGTCTTCGCCCCCAAAAAGCTGGTTTCCAACCCCTTCAACCCTGGTGATCGACCTAGCCTTGCCGGCGCCAAGCGTCGAGGGCATGAAAGACTCGGCAAACCTTCCCCTCGAGAGTTCACGGAACGCCACGTGCAGGGAAGAGTGCTCCGTCGCAATGCGACTTGCTAGATTTACTCTTCGTCAACACCATGGGACCATGGGTAGGTACAGTGAAGAGTGCGCTCGCTCCCATGAACCAGTCGGAGCAGACGACCGCCCGCTGACCAACAAGGTGCCTTGCCCTTTTTTTTCTATTCTGCTTTTCCAGGGGACCAACGAGTCAACCCGACGCGAGGGAGGCCCTTCCTTGCCTCCGGCCGGTGTCCCAAGTCTGAGCGCCTACCAGATCTTTATGCCTCAGGGTGGCATACACCAATAGCATTCGCAGACGGACGAAGACTGCAGTTTCAGGAGTCGATCTCTTCGTCCAGGGGTCCAGCGGCGGGGCGACGCCGAGGGAGGGAGAGAGCAAGGCTCAAGCCCAGCTGTGTTGGGGATCTGAGAAGATCATGGATGTTCGAGGCAGGGTGGAGGACACACCTTGGTCTGTGGCGGAAAGCGGGAGGAACGTTTGCCCAGATACCTACCTACTTGCAAGGTCAGGCAGGCTTGATGCCGACTTGTCAGTTCAGTAGCCGCAGCAGTTCGTTTGGGAAAGTTGTTGTCAGTGTGGCCGTGGCAGGCAGGATCTGACATAACGGGATCTCACACGGTTTACCAGAGAAGGGCGGACGACGGGCAGACGGGTATGAACAACCGGCTACAGAGGCAAAGCTCGGTTGCGAGATGGAGAGAGATGGAAGGATTCCATGCAGCTCGAGAGGCTATGTCGGCGCTTCTTCGTCCACAGACGCGGACTAGAGCAGTCAAGGCATGTGGCATGGCATGCCCACGAGGGCAAGTGAAGGCGACGCAGTGGCGGCGGATGGTGGGGACGACAATGGACGCCAAAGACAAGAAAAGCAGAACGTCTGTTAGTTACGAGAAAGACTGGATATCTCGTCTGTCAATGTTTCAAATATCTGCCCGAGTGGTACCTGTGCAACTCGGGCACGGCGTCAAAGCACATCGCCAGAGTGGGTGAAGGCGTGCGCCATCCATGCTGTGCAGGAACCGACTAGACTCTGGTGTTTATCGCTTCGGACGAGGACTGAAAAGAGAAGGACGGTGCGTGGGCGCGAGGTGGGAATCGAACTGGCCCTGGCACAGATCTTTGTGTTCATGGGACTGGTAGGCGGCGAAACAAGCATGGAGATATGAAACAAGAGCGGTGGGCGGCAGAGGTGATGGAGGTATGGGCAAAAGACTCGATGGCAGAAGCCGTCAAGTTTGAGGAAAGACCAAAAAAAGAGCACCTAGTAAGGTACGTCCCGTATATCCAAGTCGGGAGCTTGCATTGGCCAATTGTTGCCTCGTCCGCATCTAGAGGTCGGCGATGTGATATTGTTCCGGGTCTTTGCTCCGGATACGGGGTCGACGGCGTCCGCACACGAGAGGACAAGGCTGGCGACTAGCATGATTCGAGAAGAAGATATAGCGCAACGTCATAGCTAGTTCGTACGGGATCAAGCGCAGTCAGTCAAGCCACATATGCTTGTCTAGCTGTCTAGCTGTCTTTCTCCGTGTCTCTCGAAGCTCGCGAGGCTTGAGTATAGGAGCAAGAAGCACCAGTCCGTGTACTCCAGATCTCCCGGTCGACCGTCCGTTCCCATCATCAGGATCCGTGACAGCGGAGCCAGTCGAAGGAAGACATACTTTGAACAGCCACTTTGGCAGCTGCTGGTCGTTGATAGTTTGGGTTCCATGATAGGTGTCGGACCTTAGTTGAGCGAACCGGAACACACCAACGCAAGATACCCTGCAGAGGGACTGTGGTTAGAAGGCAACTGAGGTTGTCCAGGCCCAGCCTTGCTGGGTAGATCCCTTCGTTTAGCAACCTTCAAGAGCTGAGCGAGCATGTTCAAAGCTGACATAAACGGCCGATCGCTGCCTCAAGTCGTTCTGGAAGACGATGTGACATGTCCCTAGAAAGTCGTCGCCCGTGTTTCATGTACCTGAAAACCGCCCCTCTCACCGCGTTTCGGGTGCTGCACAACATTGGCTCAAAGCACACTTGCACCCTTCCAGACCACCTAGGAAAGCTAGGAAAGCGGCGAAGCCCTGTGAACAAGCCCGCCGGTTGCAGGGAAAACTGGAGAAGGCCTGCGGGTTGACATCAACACGAGCTTCTGTCCGTAGTTTGCGCAAAGAGAACTAGCCATTGTCGTATCGTGGGTGGGGGAAACTTGTCGAGGAAGCCGCGGTGGACATACTATGTAGATGGCTGGGTGCATGCTGCTGTCGCATCATTTACACTTCTTCTCCGCCGTCACCGCAGCTGGTGCGGATAGGGATAGAGAGAGAACCACACCGGACAGGCTGGTTCATGCACGAATCATACTTCGCCATGGGGAGCGCGGCCGGCACGGGTGCTGGGCGCCAGTGCCACTGAGGTTGTCGTGGATGCCCACCACCACCACCACCACCACCAACCACCACGGGTCGAGGACAAGTCGACGTCGAAAATGTCATGTTTCGTCGACTCAGCGAGGCGAGGAAGATCGGCCGTCCCTTCCCTGTTGTTTCAGAGTTGCTCTGGGTTTGGTAGCCTTTCCCATCTCCACTGAGTCGGATCCAGGGAACTCGACATGCTTTTTTTCAAGGGTTGGGTTGGTCAGATGTATTCGTAGCTGCCTCTTTACACTGCAGTCAGTCGTCATGACCGGTGTCAGCCAGGATAAGGAGAGCCCATCGACCCTGAGGTGAAAGGCCGAAGAAAGTCTCTTTTCCTCTGCAGTAGGTAGGCTGGCTGGTGGAACTCGCCCACAATGGTCGGGAATTATTGTGCAGATTTGACAGGTGAGCGGCAGGTACGCCGGTGGTGGCGACTGACGGCTACCGTCCATCAACCGCCGCCGGAGAAATAAAGGACGACGGTAGCGCGAGGTGGCCGAGACCCCAGCTGAGTCGACTGCCGATATACCCAGATCCTCGTCTCTCGCGCTCCTTCTCGGAGGTTCAAGTTTCATCTCATCGCTGGAGTCGTTCCTCGTAGCGTGCTATTGCCAGACGAATCTCCTATCCCCATCACGGTCAAGCCTGGCAGCAAGGAGGGCGATGTTTCTATGTCCCAAGTCCATGCAGGTAGGCGAGCACATCACTTGGTCGGCTGGGATGTTTCTATTCCTGTTTCCTCGACCACGAATACCGTGCTGGCGGCAAGGACCTTCGACCTGCTGGTGGCCGGAGCCCCGCGCGAGCCAGGCGAGACGAGGATGATAAGGAGATCTGCTGATGCGGTATGGAGCAGAGAAGGTCGAAGTGAAAGGCTCACAAGTAATCTCAGCAACCGCCAGGCGCACACTGTACTGGGGCGAGGCGGTCGAAGGTTCTGCGACCCGATCTCACTCCCGCATGCGCCGTGCAACGATTCCCAGATGTATGGGCAGTGATCTCAAAAAAGCAAAAGCTATTTCTGGCCCATGTCGACCAGTGTGATGCGAGTAAGCGTGAGTGTGGACGGATTGGTCGTGTGCATGCGCAAGTATGTAGGTACGGTGGTGGTTGGATGGACGGATATGTGTGTGTGTGTGTGTGTGGTGTCCACTGTCGGGTGTGGTCTGGTCTGGGAGGTGGGACGGGAAGGAGACCAGGCCAAACATTGGGAGAGGGCGACTGCTGGCAGCAAGAGCAGGCAGGCACACCGCACGCAGGACAGGGCAAGAGCAGACAGGCAGGAGATAAGTGAGGTAGGAGCGAGAACGGGACGCCCCACTCCACATCATGGAATGAATCTGAGGGAACCAATCAAAGAGCTGAGAAGCTCCTAGCGCTTGCAGGGCCAGCTCTTCAGGATTCTCATTGGTTCTTGCGGCTTAAGCTTAGGCCGGATCCACCCAGGGTCCATTTCTGAAACTGCCCACAACTGCCCACACGGCATCAGTCAGCAAAACCCGACTGGCAGCATCCCGACAGACGCTGGGCCCCAAGGCCTCACTTTGAGCGACCACGGCATCACGCTCCTCTTCCTTTTCCCGCTTGCTTGTGCTTGGCCTATTGTGATCCTTGAGCATGCCTGGGTCACTCACTGGTCAAACAGGCCCACGATATGACGAATGATACTAATCCAACATCCCGGTCGTCGAGGGGTCTAGATTTGATCACCAATTTTTCCTTAACGGATAGATGTTGCTTAGTGCTACTCCACGCCCGAAGCAAAAAAAAAAAAGCTCCGTCAGTGGTTTGTTTGGTGGAGACGAATCCATTTCACCGCATTCCTCAGGCGTTACGCTTTGTCTCTGACTCTCGAGTCTGAGTCTCTGCTTCTCTTATCCCGTATGATGTCTTTTCGAGAAAAAGAATGGACCTCAACAACCTTGTGCCGCGTGCGTAGCGGAGGTACGGACACCTAGTTACTAGGAACCTGAATCGCTTACAAGTTGCTCTATCCGTATCTGCACAGCATTGGGACCTGGGAGCGCTTGTTTTGGGCTTCTTGCGACGGACGAGCTTCGACAAACTTGGGACCGCTTGGAGACTCAAAATAGCAGCAGGCAACGATTGCCTCAGTAACTCGACTGATTCGTCCATTTCGTCCCAGCTCCCCCAGGACATGAATGTGACGGCCAGCTTAGGAAATGGCCTATGCGCAGTCCAGAAGCGGCACGCCTCCCGGCCGAACTTCCCTTGCAAGGTGACTTATCCTCGTCACCGCATTCTCCGTTGACAAAAGTCTCACGATGCTGTCCGCGCGGGACAGGATGCGCCTGTCAGGGGGAGAATGATCGTCGTTGATTCTTCCAGAGCTTCCCGATGCCCCTCTTTTGTTTGCCGCTACCACCAAGAATGCAGAAGACGGTAAACATTTAAGATTACGGAGGGGCTTTGCAGATGGTATCATGGCATTCGACCCAGCGGAGGAGCTTCCTATTTAGGCCTTGCTTCCGTCCTCGTCGCTTGCCCGACTTCAACTCCAGTCCGGGACCCCGAACCGTGATCTCCATCACCTCGACGGCCTCTCCTCGCCGTAGCAAGTACTCCGTACAGATACGGGTGGGAGAGGGCGATGGACGACAGTTCCCAGACAAGCGGGTGATGTCCGGCCGTGCGGGAGGTCGACAGCGGTCAACATGAACTTTCCCATCCTGACCGAACGCACTGAGGTCGGCCAGGGTAGCGGGACGATCAGGCGAGGTGGGATAGCTCGTCGCCGTCTTCTCAAGACCCAGACCCGGACCTCGACCTAGTTCTAGCGTGGGCTTGCCTTGCCAGGACTGACCAACAATACAACCATTATCCTCGCCCATGCCGAAGACAAAGGCGAACTCTACGAGTCTACGGATACACAGTGATTCGTGTACGGATATTGCGTACTTAGCAGGGGAGTTGGGAGGATGTTCGGGCTCGAGGCTGGCGACGTGCAGCTGGCATCTGCTGGCTTGGAGTTTCAGAAAGCTCGGGGTAGCGTGCGTCGCATTCTAGTAGGATGATCAAACAGTCACAACCATGGTCCATCATCCATGGACAACATCCCGCCGACGGCTCCCTCCACCGCGCAACAAGGCCGGTTTGCCGTCTTGTCAAGACCAGTGCAGGCCGATGCTTGAGATCTCGTACCTTGCATAGAGAGGCACAGTGTTGCCGTCCGAGGTCCGGCCGTTGCCCCCATTCCAACGTCGTGTACTGCTCCCGACCCGACCCATGGGGCATGAACCAACCCATCTGTGATCCATATCGAACGCGGCCTTTGCCCTCCATTGTGGTGGATCGCAGGTCTGTGGAACCGACTGCAGCGATTCGGAAAGAAAATGAGCAAAGAATATCGCATTACCGACTTCTTGTTTTTGTTGGTCCCGTACGAAGTATGATGTCGGTTTAATCCCCGAAAGGTCCACTCTACCAAGCTCATGTCCGTACTGAGCAGCAAGCGAAGACGGTGTTCCGTAAGGCCACCGTAACGGTCAGGTTGACGTCTTGGCCCGGATCGGATGGCAAGAGTCGAAAGCGGGATGGCTCTGGGGCCCGATATTCTCCACATGGCCGAAATCGTGTTCTGTTCCTAGTCAGTGAAATATCAAGACGCGATTCAAGCGGCCCCGTTGACGACACCGTGCAGATGCCGGGAGGATCGCAGAGAACCGTGCGGGTAACTGATGGCGCAGTCGAAGCATATTTTGACTGGCGAGGCATTGTGCGTGATGATGAATTCAATGGTAACCCGCAAATGAAGCCCTTGGGACTCTGGAAGCCTAACGTAGAGACTGCAGGAGAAGCAAGAAGCGTGGACCAGTACAAAAGTGTAGAGTGATGTGCATGAAAAATGCTGAAGGAGCGAGCGCCAGTTGGCTGTTAACCATGACCTGCCAACCTGTGATACTGACGAGAGGTTATTCGAAAACACTGGTGGTATATCGCCCTAATTGGTGTAAGGCCATCCAATGAATCCTGGAAAGACAGAGGGCCAAAGCCACCACCAGTGTTGCCGGACACTTCTTTGGTCTAAATCGTAGCTCGCGGCAGCGAATCATCCCGTGTTAAACGATTCTGATCTTAGCTGTACGCGGTGTAGTGCGATAGGTAGGTCGGGCGGCGGGACGTCGTGACTCGATGAAAGCAAGCGTTCCTGGCGAGAGTCTACCTACTGCGTAGAGAGAGGCACGCGAGTTGGAGGGGCGTGAGATAAGCTAAAGGGGGGCAGTGGTTGCAGTTGCAACTATGACAGAGGGACGATACTAGAAGCGGATTAGCGTTAGATTTTAGTAGCCAAAGCTGTTTTCTGAAGCAATGCGCCAGGCAAGTTTCACAGTTGGCAGGGCCTTGCTAGCAATTCTGCGGCAGCGACACGCAGTTTCCAAAGTGAACATAGGCAAAGTACGTACCGACGGGCTTTCTAGAGTGTAAATTTTTGCCTAATATTTAGGGCAAGAATCCACTCGATCCCCACTCCGTAGTTGTCAGCCAGTCAACTTCCGGCTTGGCTAGTGGTCCTAGCTCCTTCTCGCGTCATCCACTTTGTTCCGACCTTCCTGCGTGGCTCTCGCTTTCTCGGTCATTTCGTACGTATGTACCTTTGTACCTTTTCCACCCAGAACCGCGCCGGGCCGCACAACACCGGCTACCTACACGCACCATCCAGCGGGCAACCATTGACGAGCTATGTACGAAATTTGCTGAGATGCCGCAGGTGCTCGCTGCCCTATTGGCATTGCCGCATGTGTGCTATGGCATCCCATCATACTGGCCGGGAATGGACTGAGATGAAAAAGTGCGTTGTTCTGAATGCAATCTGCTGATGACTTACCACGCCAAAGCGTGACGCCTTCCACTGTCTTGGACTTATCAATCTCCTTTGTCTCTCTCACACTCAGACAAGGACGGCCGCGGAACACTCCGTGTGACCGCTCCGTGAGACCACAAGACAAGACTGGAAACAACGTTGTAGGGTCTTGACTCTTGAGCTTGAGTCTTGACGAGGAATGCAGCGTGTCTGAAGCCCACGACACATTCCATCAACGGCTCGCTTCCAACGGTTGTCGTTCTCCACGACCGGGAGCTGTGACGGTCCGAGCGAGCTCATGGCAGCTGGCAGGCAAAGCATGCAGTACTTTCGTACACCACAGTTTACTCCAAATTCATACGCCATTCGACTTACTCGATAAGCCTGCCGATCCATCGGCCGCTACTGTCACCGACATCACTGCCCAGGGACTCGGACCTGCATTTCGACCCTCAGCTGATGGCAACAGCGTCACATCGGAAAAGGCGCGCTCTGCATTCTTTCAGGGGCACAACACGAGCCTCTTGATGAGATGACGAGCCGAACTTATCCAGTACCCTTCGTCGCGAAATCGACGCTTGTCGAGAAAGGGAGCATATCCGACGTGCCCCTAGTCCAGAGCCACGTTGTTGCACAGGCTTTCGACAACGACCCTACGGCCTTTCTTACTCACTGACTATTGGCGTCGCGGTGACTACTTACAGGTATTGTAGTGTTCCTCCTTGCAGCCCTCAGAAGGTATTGCCTGCTGCAAGTACAGATACATGGCTTTGGCAGTCAGTCAGCCACGGTCGTCCGAGCTGCGCGTCTTGATGTTCCAAGAGACAGCTTTCAACTCTTAGTGGCCTTGTCTCATTAAACTACCAGAGTGCTCGGACTGAGCAAACCTCACCGGTGCCGTCGTCGGCCGCTGCGGTGTCCTCGTCCGTCCTCGTGCAAGTGCTCAGGAGAAGGCAATCTTACGAAATAATGGCAGCGATGTGTCAACTATTGCAGCCATCGCATCCATTGCATCCCATTGCATTCCGAGCAAAACGCGAAGCTTGCCCGTGGAGCTGGAAGCTGGACCCCCAAAACAAGCGATATTGCATGTGGAGATTATTGGGCAATCTCCTCACGTCTGCTTGCTGATGACCTGCACGATAGCCCTGGGACATGCATTACCGTTCTCTAGCAGGCCTGGCTAAACCTTCTTTTCCCTCTTCCTTTGATCCGTCAACGCCCCCTGGGCCCTGACCGGTCTTGCCTCTCTCTTCTTCCTTTGATCGTGCCGAAGAAGGAGGCTTCATTTCACCGGACATCCAACCCAATGCAACATGCAAGCAAGACACACGGCTCCGGATCTCGTTCTGCAAAGACCATCTGGGAGCCGTCCGGCCCCGTTGCAAGGACTTGGCCTGCTCCGGTTCGCGGGAGACAATGGGAGAGTTCGCGAGATGCGATGACTTGTCTGGCTGGCCTGCAGGATCTCTGTATACTCAGCCAGACAGCTGTGCATAAAATAAGTCAAATCCCGACAAGTCGACTTATCCAGAGTTTGACTACGCCCTGACCTCCAGGTCTCTAGAAGTCTAGAGTCTACCCCAACATTGTTGCCGGCCTTTTTCGTCAGCTTTCTCTCCGTTGTCTCCGACGACGCCTCATTTTCCGTTCCTGCATGGTTGAGAAGCCGGATCCACATGTCTTGCCTCTTCTGGCAAACGCTTCGCCCATTGTCTTTTGCAGTGCTGGTTCGTCACACACGCACATACGGAGTACACACAGACGCGGCCGTTGCCGTTCGTCACAAACAATCACGAAAAAGGATACGATCCGGACAAGGTCCGCGGCGGCGAACCATTGATTGTTTCTGGGGACTGGGGGGCAAGTGTCCTTGACTACCAGCATGGGTCTCTCAACCATGATTCAGAGATTCGTCAGATCCTCGTTCAATAGCCGGTTGCTTGCGGTGGATTAAGTAGGACAAGCAAGCTGCGTCTGTTTCGACTTGTGCGGACGGGTCGGTTCTAGACGTACGATGGGAAAAGAGTCAATGTAACTGTAGCTCCGGGCCACTGTGTGCTGCCCATTAAGAGAGAGCACATATGGAAGTATTGCCATTTTATATTTTAATTTTCTGGTGCCGTTCCTTGTCTACCTTCCTGAACCCGCAGACAGACCCAGAAGGGTAGAGCCACAGACAGACCTTGTCAATAGCAGAACATGGGGATATCCATGACAGGGCCTCACGGACGGCCTTTCAGCAGACAGACGGTCGCCCAGGATTGTCTCCCGCTGATGTACGAAGTACATGGTTCTAAAAAAACCAACGATCCCGAAGCGCACACGCTCAGGTTTCGCACACGGCCGGATCTTTTCTTGTTGTTGTTGTTGCCCTTCCTCCTCCTCCTTCAGCGTTCCCGCGCGTTATTCGTATATGCGAATACAATGCTTTGGGTACATGCTTCCCCAGCACAATCATCCTAGCCCGTGCGACCACCCATCAGGGGAACTGTATTTCGTGCCTTGTTTGGGGTTCTAAGACCGGTATTCGTGGTTGCAGTATGAACCAGCCCAATTCAAGCCACCTCTGAAGTACCCAATCAATGGCCTGAGACTGACGACGAAAGTGACCGTCTCATCAACCGCCAGACGCCGCTAGTCAAGCATCTACAACGGGATCACGATAGCAAATCGAGAAACTTCCCACTAATGTATCTTGAACAGGAGTTTAGAAATGGTGGGATGGGAGGATGGGGGGAAGAAGAAACATTTACTAGGGCAAGCTTTCTGTATTCGCACTGCGTTTTCGGTCCCGTTCAATCCGCTGCTGGGGGAAAGTCCACTGCCAAAGTAGACAACAAGCAAGCCGGACGGGAAACCCGACAGGCATTACGAAGGAACGGCAGTACGAATTAGAGCTTTCACTTTCTAGGGCAGAGTTGCCCGCAAAAAGGCAGAAGATCTTCCCAAAAAATAAGAGCGAAAAAAACCTTCCGCCGCCGCTGTCGAATGTTTTCTTCTAGAGCGTATCCGTACATATCTCCTAACCACCCCCCGGGCTCTTCTTCGTTCCCCAGTTTTTCGATTCCATGCCATGGATGGTGGTGCTCCCCAAGCAAGCCTGTTCACTGAAATCCAGAATCCATGCTCCCCGGTGCTGTGTGCCTGGCATTGTTAACAAAAAGTCTATCGGCACACCCTCCTGATGGGGTAGGATCAAGGATGGCGCCAAAAGTTGCCTCCCAGCCCAGGGTTGGACGCGCGACCCAATGGCACGAATAAATTTTTTTTTATTTTTTTTCAAGATTTGATCCTACACTGCATTTTCTGGGTCAGCGTGGGAACATGGTAAAGTTCAACGGTGCAAGCGTAATGACTACAAATCCCGCCAAAGAATCGATGATGGGCATATCTGCACCGGGATGGAAATGAGATTCCCCTGGACTATCGAGATTAGGTCCGGCACCCGGGTTTTTTTAACCTTTGGAGACAAGCTTGC